GTGTTTTTTCCTTCCATGCCATTCAGCAGGTTGGATCTGTTGAGGTTTTTAAATCCAAGCTAAAAACCCACTCACCCACCTCATTTTATGCAGACTAGATCAAAGCCTAAAGTTACTGTTTTACTATTGATTGTTTCTCATAGGGTTTTTCCCCTCCGTTTTGAATGTTATTGGTTTCCAGTTTTTATCACCAAATGTTCAACATCAGACCAAAATTAATTCTCCTGTAAATTGTTTGAAACATTTTGCTGCAGGTTGTTGTCACATACAGAGCTCAGTAAGGTGTCTGCTGTTTCTGAAAGCCTGTCTGACCAGTTTACATATTTTTATTTATTATTCTTTAAAAAAAATTTTAATTTGTCTGTCATTTCTCCAGTTATAGATGACTCTTCACTGTGCCACAGCAAAATTCTGGGCTTTTCTCCTAATACATGTTAATATCTTTGCAAAACAGAGGCTTTAGGTAATAGAACCTTATTTTTATAAGGTCTAAGAGGTAAAGGTGAAGTTTATTTCAGGTAAATCAGATTAACTGTGACTGGCAGCAGGACTGAACTCAGTAAGACCAAAAGTTGGACTTTAATCAAAATTAGCTTCAACAAGGTTTAATGGCATACAGACTGCCATTTTTTCTGTAATATCTTACATACAAAAACTGGCATTTTAACCAATTTATGAACAAATTTTAAATTCCCTGTATGTTAGATTGGATCTTTTATACAAGAACTGAGTTTTAGAGGTGAAAAAAAATGTCTCTGCATTATTTACTCTGTAATCCTGTGACAGCCTCATCTTTTACCCCAGTTCAGGCCTAGATTCTTCTTCCTGCAGCCTGTACTGGCGAAGAGTGTGTGTACACTGCTATTTACAGTGACAGGACTAACACCAGGCGCCCACCCTTGTGCTGCAGGCTCTCAGATGGCTCCAAACAAATCTGTAATTGTGCTGTAATCCAGAGAAAGCGACACAAAGACACAAAATCATTGGAAGAAGATTTATTTCTTTATCAAAGCAATCAAAGCAGCATCATGTTTTTAACACAGAGCAGTTTTTAGTTGGTACAGGAACAAGACTTTTTTTATTTCCTCTCCGTTTTTTTCCACCGACTCGACAGTAGAAACCTACAAGAATGTTACGGGAGGAGACGAGTGGTATGGATCACGCTCTCTTCTTGGTTTTGTATTACTTAATGGGGCAGCGAGTTTCAGACTGTATCCACAGACAAAGTACAGACCGGGGATGTCTCAACAACATCACACAGATGACAGTTGAGTAAAAGACATGCTGTTGCTTCTCAAACACGACAACATTGCCTTTGGCCTGGGGTCAAAGAGCAGCCAGAACATAAACTTTCAAAGTAACACATTTGGAAGCAACCTTCAGTTACAAATGATCAAGGTATCTAAGAAAGAAAAGATACTGAAATTACGTAAGCATTTTCTAAACGAATGTCAGAGTTGTTTTTCATTTACAAATGATTAACAGATGATTACATCAATACTTCAGGCATATGTCGTCTCAGATGGAGTCTGAGAAAGTTCTACTGCACAAATCTTAGCGTTTCATGAATCACCGTAAAAAAACAAAAAAAAAAAACTGCAGCAAATTCCTTAAATGGATCAAGTGATGTTTCTAGATATTCATAATTTGCTGCACAAATAAAACTCATAAAACAGATTATCACACAAATACACACACACACAACGGCGGACCTCCCTTTGCTCATCTGCAAGACCCTGAGGCTGCATCCCTGAGCGAAAGCAGAAAGGCCACCCAGAGGATGCCGAGGAGCACTCCATATTATCTAAGGATAACATGCTGTCCAAATAACACCAGGATTATATCATTTTTATACAACTCACATTTGCACAGCCCTCACTGCCACGCAGGCCAGTTATCTCCGTCAGTAATCAGGTGAGCGGAGAGGTATGAGTGCACCGAAAGCTTCTGCATGCATAAAATCAGCCAGTCAGACTCAAGCTCCAGGCTTTGGCTAAATCAGGCTCATGTTGTAAAAGTTCATGCAAAACCTAAACCAAACAAAATACAGTGGACAAATAAAAAATTGTTCAAGATGATGATTCAGATGATCACAGGCAGACCTGAAAGATGTAATTTTTTGTCTTTTAGCCAAACTCCTGAAACTAGTTGTGTAGAAATAAGAGAAATGATGGAAGATATTTGCATCATTCTGGAAAATGTTTGCGAAGATTCACACCAGTCTCAAGTCTGTGCATTAAATCCACCGGGAGTCTGTTTTTTAAGGCAGCTTGATGAGAGGTTAGCTTGTCTCAGTAAGAAGTAGGGAGGAAAGTAATCCCGAACAGTCAAATACTACGTACTAGTGAAATACTTAGGGATAGTACGCAGTGCTGGGAAGAGCTGCTGCCTGCTATTCTGTGCCTCTAACTTCAGCACACAGTAACCAATGTGAACGACAGGTATGCAGCCTTCAAATCTCACACCTGCTCATTCAATACATGTCCAGTACGTGTTAATATCTGACTAATTTTTCTATGTACTGTCCTCACGCATTAATCCGTTTTGGTAGTGCACCATCTCATGAGCGGTGATGAAAAACATCAAAATGAATCCCTATATTATACCAACAATACATAATGAATCATCTTACTGATTATTTTTTAGATAAAGACCCAAATGGGTATTTATCTCTAATTGTTTCTCTATGTCTATCTATCCAATTAGGATGTCCATGTTTCCCTTGTATTGTTTCTCCATTTATTTTGAATACTTTTAACATTTTTTGTTTACTTTCTAATTCCTTTTTGGATTGTCATGGCATTATTAGGCAACTTTAGAGGTTGTTGTATTATCAACACTATATGATCTTCAAAAGAAAAATAACTAAGTGGATATAATCATGGGTGAAACTTTAATAACCATTAGTTTATTTTTTTTGGGAATTAATAGTTAAAATAAAAGCCAATATTTTCCATACATTTCTTTCAACAAAGAGTTCTCTAGGTGCTGCATCAGCCTGGTTACAACTAAAAAATAATCACAGTCCTGTTAAGTTTCATTGTCATAAAAGCATTGCAGGTTTTTCCATCTACTAAAGGGTGTGAATAAATGGTGACAGGATCAATTGTAAAATAATTCAAAAATACATTGAAAATGCTCAATTTATATTAAAAAAGTCTAAGGATGAAGAATTTTTGCCCAACTTTTTTTTTAATTAATCAAATATTACTCAGTATCTCAAATTATAAAATACAAAAGTATAATTTTGCTGTTATATCTAGATTATATTGGTCTGTTTAAAAAAAAAATTATCTTTTAAAATGCATGGAGTGTGTAAGAAAACAATCGGAGCCAATGGATTTCTTATACAATATCGACAAGAATTTAAGACTTCTTTACACCCCTAGTGAGGAGCTATCCCGGTACAGGAATACTACATTTTCCTAACTTTAGGTTAAAAGTAATCTCTTCCACTAACCAACATGTTTTTTTTTTTTTTTTCTGACTGTGATAAACCAGAATAATCTGACAGTGAATCTGTGGATAGAGGTAAAGATTAAGGTGATGGTAAGAAGACCTTCCAACCTCCAAGACTTGAATTTGATGTTGTTCCGCAATTATAAGAAGGTTTTTATGATTGATAATTGATAAATAATAAATAAGTTAAATGTGAAATATATAAACAACAGTAACAGAATATCTGATTTTAATAAAAACACTTCTGTTACATTTTTTTTCTTGCTCGTCTCATTTTCTATCACATATAAACCTCATCTATGAATACTTTCAAGTTTAGCTGTACCTCCCTCCATTTAATGCATTCAAACACTAGGGCACATAATTACCAATAAAAGGAGTACGGAACAATGAGTTAGACTGATTTATTCTGGCAGTTTTCGCTCTCAATTGTCTGATGATAAGAACCTCTGCAGACCTAAACATGCAGAAAGACAGGGTACACCTTCTATAAATCTGCTTTGTCTTCAAGTTTTCCACACAGACATAAGATTGGTGTCAGTCTTCGTTTCTATTCTTAAGACACCAAAAGTCGCAAGTAGTTTTCACCAGAACATCACTCCACTGGAAACAACCACATAACTGTCCTATAAACAATAATATTGTCACTGTTAAATAGAGCAAACCTCAGGTTCTACAAAAAGAAAATACAACATACATTCAGACATTTTAAGTTCCTTAGAAATGGTTATGCAAATGGTAGAAAAGCTTTGGCATAGTTTGCCTACAAGTTGTGCCTGCACACTTGGAGAGAAGAGCGGAGGGAAGCATGGGGGGGGTGGGATGAGGGCTTCACACAGCTCTTCCCTCAGTTTACACGTCGAGTTAGCAGTCCCACATAAAACTGTGGAGAGTTTAATACCTACAGTACATCACATGCTATTTACACTGTTCTTTATTCTGTCAGGCCTGGAGTAGGGAAGGGGTAAAGTCTTTGCTACATGTTCCCAGGCGTCTAGACCGGGACTAACGGGACCACCTTGAATTTGCAAGCATCTCTGTGAGAATCACAGACAAATTCATCTAGTCTGTGGAACCAACAGCTACATTTTTAGGCCCCAAGCTAAACCCTACAGAGGGATGATCTTTGTCCTAACTGAGCACTTAACAGGATGATGTCTAGTAAAGCAGCTTTGAAATAGATTCTTAAAGGCTGACAATGCTCTTATCTATCCTTAGAGCTTATTCTGGCCTTTTTCCAGTCAATATAATGATTTTCCATTAATTAAGTTACCTTAATATCTTAAAAAGGCTTTAAATTAATGACTTGTTTCACACTTAGAGAGAGAAAAATCAGACCATTATCTTCAGCTAAAAATGCATCTGGGGATGCAACACGGTTTACAGATACTGATCATTATAGAGAGGCACAATTTTAAACAGGTGTAAGAAGTGTAACTGTGAGTCAAGAAGCTTTTTGCAGGAGGGAGGAGGTCCAGGAGGAAATCAACACAATTTAGGCCGTTTAATACACACTATAAAAAAAAAGAAAGAAAAAAAAAAAAAAAAAAAAAAAAAGAACACCCAGTTTTCGTTTTGGGCTTTTACGTGTATTGGGGATCCATTAGACTGCTGTAAAAATAATCGGCACTGGCATTGGCCTTAAAAAACCTGTATCGGTTATATTTAAGCTAAGACATAAAAGGTTTTTTGCAGTGTTGCCATAAAAGAGAGCCTTTTCTTCTAAACTACAAACAGCTTATCAGCACAGAAAACTCTTTCTTTAAGCATGGTGGTGGATGGGTGATGGTTTGGGCTTGTTTTTCAACCACAGCTCCAGGAAAAGTCATTGAGTAACCAATAATCATAAATTACAAACCCTCACAAACCTTCTACGTTGTAAGTAAGATCGGATCAGGCATTACAATTTAACCTCTTCAGCAAAACATAACTCATACAGAGCTTCAAAAAATATATTTGATGAATATATGTGAAGCAAATAACATCTAATATATATATTTAATTATAGACACTAAAAAAAAAAGGGGGGGAATATATTTAATTAATTTTATGTAGATTTTTGTGGAACGGGACGTAAAAGAAAACACGCCTATTTCAACCTTATACAAGCAAATAAAAGATGGAAACTTTTAATGGTACATTTAGTCTCATTCTGTTGTAAAACTTCAATGACATTATTGAATGAAAAATCTGTTAAACCAACATTAAACCTATGTTTAAAAAAGATAGCTGCTTATTATTTTTAGCCAGAGCTATTAAGAGCCATTGTGAAGGTCCATAGAACTCAACAGATCCCTGTTCTATAACCAAAACCCTAAAACATAAAGAGGGTGTTCTTTGTTTCTGGCTGCAACAGATGCCGTGAGTCGGGCGGGAGTAAGGCGAAACACAGACGATAACATAAACTAATTGGCTTTGTGTGCTAAATCGGTCAATTTTCCCACTCAGATTTGGCACAGAGACTTTGAGAAACACAGGAGGTGCCTCAACCAAACCAGCTACCCACCTTAAACCGTGGAAGGCTACTGGTCAGTATGCCATCATGCTTTCAGAGCTCTTTGCTTACAATCAACACCTCCCTGTAAGTGGAAACCTTATTTGTCATGCTATAATGTTACATTGCATAGAAAGTTAGAGCTTACTCTATGAGCACAGAGACTCTCTGGGGATCTGCTTCATTCATGCCTTACCGGAAAGATGCTACAGAAACTATAAGAGAAAGAACAAACTGCGGGAGCCATTTTGGGTCATTTCAACCCCCCATTCCATGTGCGTTTCCTCAACCCCTGGCTATAGAGGAAGGAGGTGAGGGGGTATCTATCGGCATGGCACAAAGATGGCAGCCGCCAGAGAGATCCGTCACCGTGCGGGCTAGCAGCTGCCGGGGGATGAACACACGGAGCCACACATGCTTAATTTGGAGGACGTCTCTGGTTCCGGATCTGGATCTGGATCGGGCTCGGGCTCTGGTTCTGGGTCAGGTTCATGGGCGTCATCATCATCGGTGGCCCCAGGTTCTGCCTCTCCGTCCCTGTCTGCATTGGCATCATCGCCCCCGGCCTCAGACTGACCCTCCTCCTGCCGCCTTTTCAACCTTACAAGTAGACAGAAAACACATTTAAAATCATATTATTGCTTCTCCCTCTATTAATCACCCCGTTCCATGTAGGAGTAAAAAAAATAGAAACTACCATAATGACACTGGAGTGTAATTACAGGACTTGACTGAATTAGACTGTGTAGGGCTCTTCACTGCTGTGCATAATTCTAGATTCATTATAAATATCAGTAGATTGTCATTAATTAGAGCAAAAGGATATAATAAGACACACAGAACGAGAGTTCAGTAAGACTGGGGCTGCAGGACGTGATCAATAATAAATGAGGCAATAATTTAAGCATAGAACCAAGATTCTTCCCTCTACCTCTCAAGGAGGAACACCCTGCAGTAATTTATGGCTCTTTTAGTTGTCATTCATGATGAACTCTGAATATTCTACTGACATGAACAAAAGCTTTGAAGCATATCTTTACATCATGGCATCCCTGACAAGCAGACAAGTTTGAAAGGGGTTCTTAAAAAACAATCTCTCTTAATTTTTCTGGCATGTACAATACCAAACCTTGAAGTATTTGGGTGGGGTGAGGTTATTAAATCAGATACGTCATATATGAGATATGATTGTTCCTTATGTTCCTAACAGCACTAACTTTACTCTCAATTTGCAGGTTAACTAGAGGATCCTAGAATTTCTAAAAGAAGAATGGGAGGCAGATATTTTAATTATCAGGCTCCTCCCCTGTGGAACCAACCAGTTTTATTCTGTGAGGAGGACACCCTGTCTACTTTTAAGGCAAGGCCTAAAAATGTCCTTTTTGATTACATTTATAGTTAGAGTGTCCCAGGTTATACTGAGCTATCTCTATAGTTATGCTGCTACAGGCTTAGACTGCTGGAGGACATAGGTACCACTTTTCATCATTCTGCTTCATTCTAACTATATTCTCCCGTTCTGCAGTATTCGTTAGTTCAATTTCTAACGTTTTTCTCTCTCTGCTTTTCCTCATAGTAGCTTCATGTGGTCTGTTCCTGTTTGTCTTTGAAATCATCCTTAAGAGAAACATCAGCTGTGCTGCTGCAATCAACACCTTTGTTTATAGATGGTGGAGCTTGGCCTGTATTTGCACCACTAGAACTATTCTAGTTTTAGGGGTGCAAATATTTTCTCAACACACTGTTCTCTTTAAAAGTGATTCCCGTCCAGATTCTATGGATCTGAATCAGTGCACAGTTGATTGCTTTTACACTTTTGTGCGAAGCTCCCTGCTTCAGGGCTCGTTGGTGTGAGTTCCACATTCAGCCATGAAGCATTGAGGCCTAAGTGCAGGATGAAGGAGGTAGATATTTTATTTAGCTCCTCAAATAAATTTAGGGTAACCATATTTTATTTTTGTAGACCCCGCTATTACTTTGTGTCTTTAAAAAAGGAGATTAAGAAAGTTGAGGCAAATATATAAAACATCTCTGCAGCATAAGAGCCTCTAAGGACCAATTGTGGGACTGCTTTGCCTGGACTACATTATGCATACACTGAAGAAAGAAAATCTTGGATCTCCTGCTGATTTACTAAGGATACTAAGAAATACAAAGGATACATTTTAATGAGGAACTAAATCCCAAAGCAACTTTTTCACAGATAAACTGTATAAATTGGGCCTTAAGGATTCTATCTTTTTGTGTTCAAATCTTAAAATTTTTAGTGTAACCTTGTATTATTTGCAGTACTTGACATAAAAACATCTCACTACTGACCTAAATGTTGAAACGTGGTACTGCAATCAATTTTCTTCTATTGGTTAAAACAGTACAGCTAGCACATTGCTAGATTGGAGCAGAGAGTTTAGGTATGATGGTGGGAATTTGGCATTATTTAGCACTTTAAAGGCAATCTTTCACCAGGAAAAACACTGTAGTCTGTCTCCAAGCATGCATACATCTCAGGAAGACATTTACTTTAGAGAAATACTCTGCATAATTTAGATCTCTAGATTTCTATTTTATCAATCAAAGCTTTACACCATTTCATAGAATCTCAGTAGGATTTAAGTGTGAGGCCTTGTTAAACCACTGAATGATCTTTGCATGACTATTGAAGTAATAGGTAATCTATTCTTTGTAAACGCAATGCTGGCAATGCAGCACCAAAATATATTTCTACCTCCCTATAGGTAAGTTCAGGCTTGGAGACCAGAACCAGGGTGTCTAAGGCTAAGTCCACTTGGAGGTTAACACAGTGTTCACACTGTAAGGTGTGAGTGCAAAGAAGAAAGCAAACACTGCCAGAAGAGCAGTAGCAGGCATTGTATTATTTGTCAAATGGCAGTTAGGGGTTGCAGGAAAGCTGCCAGAGAAGCAATCTGAGACCTGGTTTGGTATAATTTGAATGAGAGACCTTATATTGGATACACCAAAACCTGGCTCCATGCAGACGGGGCCCTGATGCTCAACCAATGTCATCTTATCACCAAGCTTCTTGCTGAGGTTTTGGAGCCTATTCAGCCTGAGGCGTATGGGGAGTGTTGGCCTAGTTGTTGGAGCAGTGTGCTCTGAGAAGGTTGCAAGTGGCTCAATCCCCACAGCCTGCACTCTGGGTTCATGGGCAAGACGCTTAACTCCACTCTGCTCAACACAATGACAACCCACTCCTCCCCAAGGATATGGGTAAAATGCAGAGAGTGAATCTCCCCATTGTGGGACAATAAAGGGATATACATTTACATATCTACTCCCTATGGACCTTCATCTTTGGTAATGTTAGTGTAAAGGTGAACAGGTCAAATAACAGGAAGATCAGGGGTTTCTGTTGTCGACTGTCTAACTGATTGTAATATAAGCAAACACCTAAAACAGGAGCAGAATTACATTTTAATGCCAAAAAGGAATTTAATAAGGTGATAAAGTGCCACATAGAAGTAAACATATACTTGATATAAATGTGGGATTATATAACTTGAAATAAATATATACAAGTAGTATAGGAATATTTTAAGAACAGAGATGAATAGTGCAACTTTTGTAGAGAACAATCACCATGGCAAATATTAAAAACATACAATGGTATGAAATCTGTAGAAGGAATAAGTCAGCCTGTATTGTTTGTGATCAAACACTTCTGTCAATGATGAAATATAAATCAACTTACATGGAATTAATTATGACGATCTTTGTACATATTCTGCTATCTTGCATCAAAAGCAAAATATCAAACTTTTAATGCCTTTGTGGGCAAATTTTAAAAATCAGCAGGGGATCAAATCATATTTGAAATTAATTATGGTGCTGCAGTGGTAACAGCAATTTAAAAAAGAGATTAATTAAAAAGTATACAGGGTGTTGCAAATTCATAAACTGTTTACCTGCATCTTGGGTGGAGCAAAAAACAGCTCTTGAATAAAAGCAGAGAAATATGCACTTTTAGCTCTTGTCATAGACAGACCTCTGCTTTTTTACTTCCACATACCTTTCACGGTTGAAGATCATGAACTCTTGCTGCACCACTTCAAGGCACTCCTGTAGGTAATCGTTCTCCTGCAGACAGTCATACAAAAGAGATGCTGTCTTCAGAATCATCATTCAACAATGACCTTTCCACCGTTGCAAACAGGCAGACCTGAATCAGGCGACTCCCTGATATATGACGTGGAATTTTGTCTTTTTCAGCCTTCGAGGTTCCTTTTAACCTGACTCATGAATTGTTTGCAATCCCTCCTCAAATTGGATGTTTGGCTTGAGACAAAAATAGAAGCTCATATTTCCAAAAGCACCCGGGGCCATGACAATGGCACGGAAAGGCTTCATAATTTAATAATCTAAGTAATAATGCAGCATGAGCACATGCAGGCAATCTCACACACACACCAACTCCCATAAGGCTGCTGTTGTTTGAGGCACACAGTGTTGTACATGCTTATCAGCCTTGATAACAAGTGACAAAAACCCTACGCACACACTGATGAATATAACACTGTCATGAGCACTGTTTGATGAAAACCCAGGCAATATCCCTAATTTTCATTTAGAAAAACAACAACAACAAACATCTCAGCACTTTTTTATCCTGGTCCTATGATGAACACTGCAGAGGCAATTAATCCGGGGATCATCTTAAAATTATCGCACTGGTGCGTCAGGTGGAGATTTGTCACTGTTATTCATCGAGAACTTAATATTCTACTGTAATCCATTTAATTAGAATCTTACAGCAATAATCTTATAATGATCGCTAAATGTTTGAGGACTAAATGCCATCAGTGCAGACTATTCCCGTTGTTGCATTAAATGCTGAATGTTTTCAATTAACAGATTAATCTTTGTGGAAAATGGGCAACGGTAGCTTCGGATTTAAACAGCTCTGGCTGACAGCTAATGGAAGGAATGGAAATGAAAATGAGAAAACCCCACATAAAAGAGAATGCCTGTAAATGCCACATTAGAGATCATAATATGCAGGAAAAAAATGAAGAAAGAAAAGAAAGACAAAAATGATCATCTCAACAATCTACCTTATTTGTTTTGGTTTATGATTATAAAACCATAACTTTTTATTGATAAAAAAGAAAGAAAAATTCAATATGTGTTTTTTTTAAATCTTTTTATCTTAAAACTGACAAAATACAATCCAAGTGCGCTGATTCCATATTTTTTGCCAAGGAGTGCAAAAACTATATAGACATTGTGATGCCTAGAATAAGCAGCTACTTCTTAGTTTTTTTGCCGCCACTGCACATAGCTGTCATTTAAGACTGCATTTATAACTGGATGTACTTTGATTTTATTTCCATTGAAAGCCCCCTGGCTCAGTGCCTTCATGCTTAACTGCAATGGTGGAACGTAACAAAGTACCTGTACTTACGTACTTTTAAAAATATATTTACTTTACTGGAGTAATTTCTTGGGGAGGTACTTATAATTTTCACTCTACTAAATTTTGATGAAAGAGCAAGTTACTTTTTCCTTTTGGCTCAGCTTTGCATTTAAATCCACTGTTGCTGTTTTTCTTAGTTGAAATGCAACATGTAAGATAGCAGCCTTTAGGGCTGAATTTTGACAACAAAGTTTTAGAGATGTGCATGAATATTACACAAAATTTGAGAATTTCATGGCAGATTTGTAGTTTATAAATGTTATTAAGGCCTTAGTTGTTGCCATGTGGCCATATTGTTCAGTAGAATCAGTTGTATGATGAAAGCTGTAGTTTCTTTGTGGTAATCGATTCAACCTTAAAACTCTATTCCATACTGAAAGTTTGAGAAGAATCAAGACACACATTTGCGGTTTGTTTCTATATAAAGAATAAGCATTTCTATGTTGAAGTTCTTTACAGGTGGTGTAGAATCTCTAGCAGGTGGTTCTACACATCAATACTTCTGGCGGTTTGTGAAAGTTACAAGGTAATTTAAATTAAGTCTGAAAATGATACACAATTGTACTGATGTTACAAAATAATCTTGGTATTTTTGAATACTTAAGTATTCAAAAATACTTAAATATTTCAAAAAGCGAGTACTTTGATGCTGTAATTTGAGTAGCTGTTTCACTGAGTAACTTTTACGTGGAGTTAAGATTTGACTGAGTATTAATAATTTTACTCAAGTACTACTGTTAAGTACTTCGTCCACCACTGCTTAACTGTCTCTTGCCTGGATAAAGCCATTGACAGAGCAACTGCTGCATTGCCTTTGTTCTCTCTTTGTTTCTATACACAGCGACTGTGACTCTGGGCGTTCATGTTCAGCTGTGTCTTTTTCTTTGCCAGAGTCACAGATTAAGCTATTGTCGCCTGTTTTGCTTATTTGTTCACCCTTTGTTTTACTTTCAGTTGAACTCTATCTTGACTAAGTGACTCTGTGTTCAACTGTGTCTCTTTATAGATGAAGTCATTGAGGATCCAATGAATTTTAAGTTGTTTTCTCTCCTAACAATCTGAACCTGGATCTGGATGAAGAACTTCTGCAAAATCTGTGATTTGACGTAAACAACTAGGTTTTTGTAGTGTGATTATGATTAACAGAATTTAAATTCATTTCATAATGATTTATTTAGATTTAAAATTTTACCGGAAAACAACAGATGGTTTTAATGATGGCTTTTGATGGTTTTTCCAATTATTATTTTTTTTTTTGTAGGTTTTATTTTGATACAAATTGGTGGTACAGAGCTAAATTGGATTTATGCTGAATGATTTAGTGTACTTAAACTAAAGTATGTCTTCATGCTCTCCACTGTAGCACAATTTCAGTTTTTTTAGTTGTAGAAAAGAGAATAAGAGGAATTCATAACAGCTGGGGGAAACAAAAAGCTTTGGGCTCCCTGCCCATCTAAAAATAAGCATCTTTGACAGGCGCTGCCTTATAGGAGACCTGAGCTGAATTATTATCTCAGACCAGCACAGGCTCTTGAAGTATGCAATTTATTAGACCACGATTCTTATAGTATTAATAATCTGTTAGTTAAAGGTGTCATTATCTTTGCTGTACCTACATATTGGAAATAACAGAAATAAAATCAACACAAAGATACATTTCATACAAAACTGTATTTTTTATTTATTTTTACAATAAATAGTCTCTTTATATAAAAGGACAGCATGAAGTAAACTAGGTAAGATTTGTTATGCAATGGAAGGGAATGAATGCCGTATAACAGATGCAGTAACATCTTGAATCCTGTGTTCATCCTCACAGCTCCCAAATCCTCCTACGTAACAGAACATGTTGCCATTATTACCGAAGTAAAAATCACTGCAGAGTATCATCTCAAACATCTACTCATGAAGGATTTGACAGATCAATCAGAAAGTGTCATAATCCTGTTATGGACTCATTTTCTTTTCTTTTTTTCCAACAGTTGCTGTCATTATATTTTTATTCTTTTTCTTTTTTTCTTTTCACAGAATGTAGAATGTCATGGCTCGGTGGTTTTGTGTTTAACTGTATATATTTCGTGAGGCTGTTGCTCTGATTTACCTTGAATACTTTCTTGTAACGAGGGACAGTATTTACAGCAGCTAAATTACAAAAGAAATGAACAAATATTATCTAATCTAATGCACAGAATTTGGGCAAAACTGGTTGTAGATATGAGCTGCATCTTATTATCTTTTAAAGTGGCTTGAAATGACAGCTGCCATGTATTGGCAGAATATGGAGGAAAATATTTGCAGCTGAGATGAGCAGTTGTTGCACACACAAAGACCTGTATCCTGTTTAGGATTGTTTTGAATCTGAGCATGATTACTAAAACAGAAAACGTCAATAAGTCCAAACTAAGCAATTTCTGTGTTTTTGTTTTATTCATCTTTATGTCAATTTTTTGAAGAACAAGTGAGGTTGTAGTATGCAGGTCTGAGTTACTCACAGACTGTGAATCCTTGCTGTTGTCTCGAGAGCGGTTCTTAGCCAGCCTTTTTTTCTTCTTGTGGAGGGGACGTGACTCCAGAATCATCTCCTCCAGCTCAAAGGTGGGGTCGCAGTGGAGCCGACCTTTCTGTGGAAGTGAGATGCACACCGCATAATGACAAAGACATATGCACTTTGAAACCAAGAGGTACAACAGACGCGGTACACCACAGACAGCAAAACACAGGAATTTATAACAAGTGCATGTGTACACTCACTGTATAGCAGGATGCCATAAAAGAGCTGCATGCAGTTCCCTCTGCATTATTAAGTCCTTACACATGCTCATTACAGCCAGCATACATAAAAGAGCACTTGGGAGTACTGTTAAATATTCAATGTAAGAAATATTGCATCTCTTAACACTAACATTAGGAACGAATCCAGGTTCCATCTTCTTCTCATATACGGCATCCCAGTTGACGGAGGCGAGGTATGGAGACGCCTGCATATCAGACAGACTGGAAAACCGATGCTCCGGGTTGACTGTCAGCAGCTGCAAGGAACGGAGACACACAGTCACACACACACAGTCACTATCACCTTGCCAGTTCAAATATCACCTTCACAACTTCACTCCCAACTCACAGCCAGCCACTTCTCTCCGGGAGGTGAAATAAATTGCAGGTATAAAATAAAACTCTCTGTGACTTCACTTTCTTCCTTTTTGTGAAGGAGAGAGAAAAAAGGCACATAGCTGTGTATGTGCTTGAGCTCCAGCAGTGGATAAAAAAGAAATAATTGAATTGTAATTCTTGACAACTTTTGCGTTTATGACTAAGAACATGAATAGCCTAAAGGGACAGTGCGGAACAAACATGGATTTTTATTAGCAAAAATAAATTATTCCTTTATTAAATACATAATCTGAAAACGTTTCTTAACATAATTTTAAAAATTAAAAAGTTTTCATATCTTCAAATTAGTAGGGGGAGCTAATGGGAGATGCCATGTTGTGAAAGAGGACATATTTGTCAGCTTTATGCATTTTTACCTGTATCTGCAAATCGAATAACAAATATTTCTGTTTTATTTAAACCAATACTTGTGTAAAATGTGTTAGACTTAGACAAACTTTATTGCTATTTTGTATACAATCATACATTATAATGTAAATGAAAAAACAAAAACTTATCCTTCTAAATTTTTCCAAAAATTCTGCAGCACATACTTACAGTATAATCCTCTAGACTGATATCAGAGTAATCAGTATCAGCCTAAAAACATCCTGTAACAGTTTATCTCTACCTCATAGTCAAGACAGTGTTTACAGGCTGGTAAAATGTTGCTTCTTCTTCAGAAAGCTTCTGACCCATGTTGCTGCAGGACTTGTTTCTCTTTGGATAATTAAACTCTTACCAGCTCCAGTAAGCCTCTAAGCGTCTATTGATATTTTTTCTGGGGCTCAAACACAAATTTTCAATCAAAATCGGTTTATCTCTGAGAAACAGAAATCACTTTCTTCCTCAACTTTCTTCACTTTCTTCTCACAGTGTTTATGCTTTCACATGTTTGATAACAGAGAGACCACTGGGCATCAGGACATCTTCCTGATGTCTTAAAATGTTTTATAACATACTTTTAGAAAAAGAGGCAAATAGTTTCCCCGAACACACACACACCCATATTTAATAAAAACTGTTTTCTCACCCCTCGTGGGGTGGTATGTGTC